TTCCTTATTTTTAATTATTTTACTAACTATTTATTTAGGAAATGACCTTATTACCCTTAGCCATCTTTAGAATAAATGAGGTTTGGTAAGAAGGTTGGGAATGATGATAAAAGAGGATGATGATAGTTCAACTACATCTACTCTCCCCCTCTTCAACTGCCACGAGGACATTAATTTATTATCATTATTATTAAATAATTTTATTTTTTTTCAATTTATCAAATTTATATTATTAAAAATTTAAAAAAGTTGTCGTACATTGTAAATGCTTGATCTTTAAACAAAGCCCACAACAATAAAGATACAAGTGTAATCACCAAAATTACAATTCTCATCATTCTATTCTATGTAAAAATGGCTAAATTGCACAAAATTCACTTGGAATTTCATGAAATTGTGCAAAATTTTTCGTGCTTTTAAAGCTACGTCAAACTTTATTGTGGTTTTATAAACTTTGCGTCTAACCACTCGGTTGTCCTTATTTAACGGTATTTGACCTAAATATGCACAAACTGCGAATAAATTTTAAAATCTCAAATTCTAAACTCCTAAAATTATAAATATATTTATTTTTCTTATATTTAACCTTAAAAAAATAGTAAAAATAATTTTTTTAAACCTGAGAAAAAAAACTATTTTTAAGTATATTTACTATTTTTTTAGGCTAAATATAACAAAAGTAAATATATATAATTTTAGGAATTTAGAAATTGAAATTCTAAAATTTATTCGAAGTTTAGACGGATTTAGGTCAAATATCGTTAAATAAAGAACTGCCGATGAAGTTAGACGCAGAGTTTATGAAAACAAGAGAGAGTTTGACGCAATTTTAAAAGTATAGGGGATTTGACGCAATTTTATATAACGAATTTGTGCAATTTAGCCCAGTAAAAATTTAAAAAAATATACATAATCATTTTTATTTGATTTTATTTATTATTATTTTTTTGGCCAACATGTCACACTTTTCTATAAAAATAAAATTAAATGCAGTTTTAATTTTACATGATTCATAAAATTAGTGATAATTAAAATGTACAGTAATTAGTACATGCACATATGTGACAATAGTAATTTGTTATGTAATCTATCAATTTCTTACCTACCAAAATTCAATTTTGAAAAAAAAAAAAATGATTTATATTCTTTATTTGATTTTTAGAATTAATTTTTCTTTTTAAAAATTTGCTCAAATGGAAAATTCTAACAAATAACTTGAAAAGCACACTAAGATAAACTAATACTTCATCCGTTCCATGACAAAGTATCTATTTTTTCATTTTAGTTCGTCCCATAATAAAGTATTCATTTATTTTTTTTAGTAATTGTACTATCTACCTAACGTTACAAATACCCTTACAACTTATAATATATTACACAAATGTCATTACATTTATATCACACACTACTAATAAGATTATTTTAATAATTTCTACTTTATTCCTACTAATTTCAATATAATACAAATAATTCTAAAACCCTGTGTAAAAAGCAAACGGATATATAACTATGTGACGGAAGGAGTATAAACAAGCCACGGTTGATAGATTCATAAGTAAAAGGCATTTACATAATTTATTTTTATTTTTATTTTCATTTTTATCATCATAAAATATGCTGAACAAAATATTGAAAATTTGAATTTTTTTGTTGAATCAAACTGAAATTTAATAATGATTAATTTTGATTAAATTGGATTGATTTTATTTTTTTTAATATAATTTCATATTTTTGGATAAATTTAAATTGGTAAGCCAAAAGATTGAATAAATTTGAAATGCGAAATATATTATAATATTATATATATTTTAGTAATAATGAATTAATTAATTATTTGAATTTTTTTTATTTTAACTTTTGTTTTGAAGTATTTTATATTTTAAATGACCTTTTCTTATGTTTGTTTTGTTTTTCGATCTGCTAAATATTATTATTTTTATTAATAAAAATTTATCTAAAAAAAATACGGAATTTTCCAGATTGATTTGTATTTATAAATTTTAAGTTTTGTACAATTAGATTTTGATCAAAAATTTTACAGAAATTTGAAATTTTGAATTGATTCGAAATTTTATTTATATATGTATGTTTACCTACCTCGATTAATTATTTACAGCTGTAAATTGTAATTAGGGTCAGTTAAACTGTAAATTATTATTTCAATAATTTGCATAATTAAAAATAAAATTCAAGAGTCATCTATATTTAATTGTAACATTCAATTTAAAAATTAATTTGGGTAGGTTAAAAAAGTTTGGTAGATTTTTTTGGTATTATTTTGATTTGTGTGTGTGGGACTTTTATACATGTACATATTTTTTTAGTTAAATTATGTAAAACTTTAATGAAAGATAGATATTGAATGCAATATTTATTTTTATTACTCATGTCTCAGATACCATGTCCACGTTGCCGTTTCTGTTCGTCTCACATACCATGTTACTTTCATTTTTTGGAAAATGATTACACACTTTAATCTCATTTTAAATTTTTAATTTTTTTTTAATTTTAATTAAACTAATTAATTATCTTAATCTTAATTTATAATTATTTATATTATAGGATAATTATTTTCACTAATACACTCTTAATTATCTACTAATTACACCCCTCCTAAAATACCGTGTCTACAGTGTAGCAGATACGGTATCTGGGACGTATCATTTTTTAAAAATAAGTTAGAATATTAAATAGTAGAATGAATAAATAGAAGACAAAATTATTTAAAATTCACTTAAGGTTTTCAAAGTCGACCTCATACTCTTTTGTGATTTAGAATTTGTATATGACTCTTTTGTGTTTTATAAAATTGTGCACAAAATTCCTAAATATTGTATGAGATTCTCTTGTAAATTTAAAAATTATTGCATAAAAACCACTAAAAAATAATTTTTGTGCAATATTTTGAAAATACAAAACAATTTTATGTAATTTCATTTTTATTTTATTTATTCTTTATTTACCCTTAAAATTCATTTGTTTATTTCATATATATAAATATATTTTTATTGCCGGATTATTAATTATTTTTAATATATTTAATTTATTAAATTGTAATTTTGTTTTTATAAATTTAAAATAATAACTATTATTTTTTGTTTACTATAAATCATTTTATTTGTAAAATATATAAATTTATTAAAATTAAATCAAATAGAAAAGACAAATATTATTAATATAATTATATATTTATCATTATATAAATTTTATATAAAAATTAATAAACAATAATTAACATAACAAAAATACATATACGAAATATTTATTAATTTATATTTAACACAATTTTAATAATAAATTATTATTTTTAATAAAAATATTTTTCTCAAATCTAAAATATAAAAATAAATATTTTATAATATTTTTACAATTTTTAATAATTAATTAAAAAAATCTAATAAATGTTAAATTAAAATGAATAAAATTAAATATTTCAAAAATTAACATATAAATATCTTTAATTGTCATTTTACGTGTAAATAACTAATGTCAAACATTATTTTACCAAATATTTTAATACAAACATCTAATTGTATCAGCTAGTCAAACCACCTAACTGAATCAGCTAACAACTAACAGCTAATTGAATCGACTAAAAGCTATTCGTTAATTGCCAAAACGCAATTTTAATCCATTCCAATGATTTTTTTCCGGGTTTTTTATTTTATTTTATTATGTATTTATAACATTGTTTTATGAAAATATTTGTTTTATCTTACAAAAATATCACATCAATTTTTTTAAGACACATATACCAACCAAACATACCTTAAAGGATAAAACAAGTATTTCTATAAAAATACTTTAAAATATTTTATAAAATATAAGGAATTATGATGTATAATTTCCTATAAGATAATTTCTTGATTTGGTTTTGGTTACAAAAGAATTTTTTTACTAACACTATTTTCAATATATATTTTATTCTCTAAAAGAATCAACATTAGAAAATAATATTATTTTTAAAATTTTGATTTTGTTGTAATTTAAAATGGAAGTATTTTGTGTTTACTTGTAAGATTTGTTTTTTCGTTTTACTATTCTAATTTTTTTTTCCCCCAAAAATATCAAATCAAACACCTATTTTTTATTTATTATATTACACTAAAAATTAAATTTTACATTCAAACATCACGTCAATACATATTTATATCACATCAAACAACTATTTCAATTCAAAATTTTACTATTAAAACCAAAACCAAAAATCAAGATCGCACAAGTAAACACATATTTCATATGAAAGAATAATATATTTTTATTAAAATTGCACGAATTAAATAATGTATTTTGATTTGAAATAAATAAATAAAAAAAAACACACTTTATATTGGGGGTAATTAATAAAATTAAGTGCTTATTTATTTAAATTTATGTGTTTTTTTTTTTTTTACTAAGTACGTTTTAAATTTTATTTTAATGTGATTCTTAAAAAAATATATAATAATAATAATAATAATAATAATAATAAATTTAAAACTTATAAGGAAACAAACCCTAACACAGATCAGTAACAAAAATCAATTGTGCATTTAATTTTGTAAATATATATTTATATAAAAAAATTGTATGCTAAAAAAATACCTCAAACGTTTGTAACACCACCTTATGCATCGCCAATTTTCATGTTAAATAAGTGAGGTACTGGATGTGTTTTTTTAGCAACATATATGATTTTTTTCAAAAAAATTAATATATTATATATATTTATTATTTTTATAATTTTCAATATTTTATATATATATATAATTTTTCAAACAATTTCATCGAACAAAAGACACGCTTAATTAAATTTGATTTAATTTAATTATTAATAATATAATAGTAATTTATTAATTATGCAGAGAGGGATCGTGAATTCGTGATGGAGACTGGACTACAGAAGGAAGGCGAAAACACGGGTTTCTTTAAAACGGCACCGTTACGATGCTAATACCACCGGACGGCACCGTCTCGTATGCCGCTTCGTCTGAATTTACAATTGTGTCCCTGAGCTCTATATATATTCGCAGAAAGCGAGGTTGAGGTAACTGCGCCTGTAAAAGCACCGACTTATCACCTGCCCCACCCACCGCGATGCAGCCGGAGATCCCGCCGGCGCCACCGTTCCGAGCTTAAATTTCACTTCCGGCAAACGGTTTTAGGCAGACATTGTAGCTGTTGACAATGTCGGGCCCGAACTCCCGCAAGCAGCAGGCTAGGGCGCGTGATCTGAAGCATCGTGTGCTCACCTGCATACACAGGCTCTCTGATAGGGATACTCACTCCGCCGCCGCTTCGGAGCTTGAATCCATTGCGAAATCTCTGTCTGGTGATGCTATTCCGCCTTTCATTTCGTCGATAGCCGCTACTGACTCGTCGGATAAGTCTCCGGTACGCCGCCAGTGTGTGCGTTTGATCTCTGTTCTCTCCGAGCACCATGGGAATTCTCTGTCGCCTTACCTATCGAAGATCCTATCCGCCGTCGTCCGCCGCCTCCGCGACCCTGATTCGTCCGTCCGTTCCGCCTGCGTCGAAGCCTCATTATCCCTCTCGTCGCACATCACCTCTCCTCCATTTAACTCCGTAACAAAACCTTTCCTCGAATCGCTCTTCATCGAGCAGGACTCCAACACTCAGACCGGCGCGGCTTTATGCTTGGCGGCGATAATTGAGGGATCAAAAGATCCAGATGCGGGGAGCTTAAGGCGATTGTTCCCAAAGCTTGAGAAGCTAGCGAAATCTGAAAGTTTTAAGGCGAAGGCTGCGCTGCTCACTCTAATTGGAAGTATCGTGCAAGTGAAAGGAGTACTGAGTAACGGCAAGACTGCAATTAGAAATATCGTCATGTGTTTGATGGAATTTCTGAGTAGCGAAGATTGGGCTGCCAGAAAGGCTGCTGCGGAGGCATTGATGAAGATCGCCATTGCAGAGAAGGAATCACTGTCGGAGCACAAAATCTCGTGCTTGAAGACGTTTGAGGCAAAGAAATTTGACAAGGTCTGTTTCCTTGAAATTTCGGTAACAGTAGTAACTTTAATAGACTTTTCGCATCCCCAGTTGATTCAATATTGGTTGATTTCATTAGGTGAGGGCAACGAGGGAAACTATGAATCAGATGATAGAAGCGTGGAAGCTGATTCCAGATCTACCAGATGAGGTTTCATCAATCCCTGAATCAGAAGCTTCTTCTAAACGTATGGATTCTGAATTTGTTTACTTTTCTTTCCTAATTGATCATATCTTTGATGGATATATCTTATTCATTATTTCAGATTTCATTGTTTAGATTTCAATTCCATCACTTAGCGAAATTACTTCATCAATATATCAAACTGGAAAAGATTAGTCTACAGTTTCATTTGACACACCATCTGCTTTGGACTGTTATGCTTTTCCTCTGTCAGTTTGTTCTTTTGCTTTGGCAGTTATCATCTGTATTTGACGTGTGGTTTATTAGCAATTTTATGCCATGATGTAATGATATATTGCCTTTTTTCTTTTTTCACGCTTTCATTCAAATATAGTAATGTGAGATTTGTAATTTCATCATTTTGCCTATGCTTGTTCCCTTGAATATTGGGCATTTTAATTGTATTCTAAGTAAAGAATTTTACTCAATCATGTTGCTTTGAGTACAGAAAATGCTAGTGATGGGTGTTGCCTTACTCGGGATAATTTCTTACTTTACTCATTTTGCCTATACTTGTTCCCTTGTATATTTGTCGTTTTAATTGTTTCCAAAGTAATGAATTTTATTTAATAATGTTGCTTCGAACTTTTGAGTACAGAAAATGCTAGTGATGGGTGTTACCCTCCCGGGATAAAATCTTATTGTTCCCCTGGGGCTTCTACTACTCAAACAAGAAATCGAAGTCCTCCAAGCAAGCCAACAGCCCGGTCACTGTTTTCTAATGCTACTCCTGCATCCACGGCCAGGAAAAGAAGCCCTCTTGGTAGTAATGAAAGCAAACCAGGCCGGGGACTGTTCCAGAAGCTAGACCTGAAGAAGCCCACCAAAGTTGAAATTGTTGGTTCTAATGGATCTTGTGGTGTGACAGTCTTAGATGATAGTCCATCAGACAAAGGCGAGGAGGAAAGAAGACAAACTGGAAAAACAGAGATCAAACGTAATCTTTTCAGCGAGAACAATGGGAAGCAGAAGCTTCATTTGTTTAAAAATAGTTCTCGAGTTGTTCCATGGGGTGATGCCAGTGTTGTTGTTAGTAATGAAACTGGAGATACCTATAGCAACCAGAGAGGATGTGAAGACCTATCTCAGATCCGAATGCAACTTGTGCAGATTGAAAATCAGCAGTCCAATTTAATGGATCTTCTTCAGGTATTCTTCTACATTTGTTATTCGCATTGTTATTCTTTGTAATAAGTGTTCCGTGCTCTAAATCGGCATCTTCTTGACTAATAAGAATAGATGGTCTTTTTCGCTAGTTCCTATTTTCATGTCATTGATTACATCTGCAATACCCTGACATTTATTTTGCAATGTAGAAATTTATCGGAAGCTCTCAAAACAGTATGCATTCTCTTGAGGCTCGTGTCCACGGTCTCGAACTTGCTCTGGATGAAATATCATTTGATTTAGCAGTCTCAACCGGAAGGGTGTCACAAAATGGTGCTGCCGGAGCAACATGCTGCAGGCTACCCGGTACAGATTTCTTGAGCTCTAAGCTCTGGAGACGAGCAGAGCTTCGCCCAACCACTCGACTCCCCCTCTCTAGAGATACCCCATCAATGGCTGAACATAATGGAAATGGCAATGGGTTTCCTGTGGAGAATCGAAGGTACATGATCCAAGGTCGACGCGGGCTTATAGTGAACCCGCTGGCCAAATTCTCCAGCAGCTCTCTCGGATTTTCTGAAGTTTCCTCAACTGGAGTTCTTAATAGCACTGGCGTTTGACATAATTAGGCATTTCTACACTTGATGGCTTCTTCTGGTACGCGCTTCGACTAAAATATTAAATGCGCACAAAGAAACCACATTCTGTGGTCTACTTTCTTTGCTTCCAAAATCATCCATCTTTGATACAACATCTAATTAATTTCTTTGGTTCACAAGATGTCACTTTCACGATAATTTTGTATCCTCCTTTTCGATGCCAGGCTGGGCTGCAAAGGACTGGAAGAACTCTGCGGATGGGTTTCCTGGACAAAAAGGCAACCGGAGGAATTTGGAAACAAGGTAACCGGTTTCTGTCTCGATTGATTAGTTATTTATTTGCGAATGATTAGAGGCGATAAATTGGGAAGAAATTATAATGCAAATGAATGAATGGATGAAATGAAGTATAAGTAGCTTGTGTTTGAATTAACCTTGAGGAGAAGTTTCGCTTGCATTGTTTTTTTGTTGGCTTTGGAAATGTTTTTGTATCTGAAATGATTCTTGCTGGGGTGGAGGGTGGGTGGGTGTATATGATTATGGTAGTGAACATGCTTGTCTTCTTCATGATTTAAAATGGTGGATGTGTGTGTATAATATATATATATATATAAGTTATGGAAGCTGTATGTATGTATCTCTCTTTGCATGCCTTTGGTAGACATCATTATTATCTGTATAGATCTTGGATTTAAGTTTATTTCTGAAGTATGTTGTTGTATGTTATGAAAATTAATTGAGAATGTGTTTATTAAGTGCAAAACATGAGCATTGTGAATATTTGTATTTTAATGTGATTTAATATATAAATATTTTTAATCTAATAGTGTTTAATTATTCGGACTGTAATTCTGAATATATGTTCTTCACTGTTTTGTCATTTTGTTGAATCACATATGTGTATATATAGGGATGGCATACTTTACAGTGTCGAAAATATCGGTCTATACCGATACCGTACAGAACTTTTCGGTACGAAGAAAATACATACCAGTATCGTGCCGAAAGTTTCAATATATCGAATTTCGGTATATCGAAATTTTTGGTACGGTATCGGTATATACCGTTTACACCGAAAATTTCAATTTCGGTACGATATTGGTATATACTATTTATACCGAAAATTTTGATTTCAATAGATACCTGTATATACCGATTATACCGAAAATATAATTTTAAATTTCAAAATAATTAAAATTTTTAATAAATATCACTATTCTCCACCACAAAAATATTACTAATAATTAAATTATTTAATAAAAATAATATCGGTACGGTTTCATACTCAAATACCGAATTTTTCGAAAATTCATATCGATATTGTATCGAAAATTTCGGTACGATATTCATACCATACCGAAATTTTCGGTATTTTCGATACGATACGGTACGATAAGTCGATATTTCGGTATGTTCGGTAAATTTATCTATCCGTATGTGTGTGTGTGTATATATATATATATTGAAAATGTTAAATTACATGCCAAATAACAAGTCTAGCGTTCCGAATTTTTGGGCAGTGGTATGGATATAATTTGTTTGTGGAAAATAGTATCTTTTCATAAAAATCTTAAATTGAATAGTTGATAAAATAAAAAATATGTATATATATATTCATAGACACATTCATTGCAGTTTAGCATGGGATCCAAATTGAATATTAGTATTGGTTTGGGTCTTACTTTACTTTGTAAAATAAAAAATAGCTTATGGGCAGCCATCTTTTAGGTTTCGAAATATGATTGATTTATATTTAATCCACCTTTCAATTCATTTAAAAGTGATAGGTTGTAGATCATAAATGTTACCCGACGAAATTGAAATATTAAATAAATTTTACTACAGTGGTTCATTTTTAATCTGTTACCATTTACATTGTCGTTGTTACAACTCAATTTATGGTTTAGTTGATTTTATTGGATCTGATGACGGAGCTTCAGGGTGTGCTATTCAAAATAAAATAAAATAATTTCAATTGTATTGTTGACTCATGTGGTGATACTTACGGGTGATTTATATGATAAAAGAATTTTTTCTTTTAATTTTAACTTAAATAATACACTTCATTTTATTCCATCACATCATTCAAATAAAAATAAATAAATAACCACGTCACTTAATATCCAAATTATCTCAAATTATTATATTTAATACTCTTCATTTAAATTTTCTTTTCAATCACATCACTTAATATCTAAATTATCTCAGAGTACTATGCTTAATATACCCTATCTAAATTTCCGTGTCAAACACAAATGTTACACGGTGTTTGAGACGAAGGGAGTAGTATTTTATAAAATAAAATTATACTCCATTTCAACGAAAGCATATGATTTAAACGCTACAAAAATGAGTTCGGAAACAAAACAAATAAACCAGTTTTATTTGAAATGTTTATGCGCATTATATTCCTCCCTCCGTCCTATATAACATGGGTATGTTATTGTAGATACGAAAATTTAGATAAAATATAATTAATAAGTAACTAAGAAGTATATTTATAAAAATAATTATTATTTAGTAAAAATAATTAAAAATAAAGATAATTAAATAATTTAATTAAAATTAATTTTAATTTTTAAAATATAATTAAAGTGTATAATTAATTTTTTTTTAAAAAAAAATGATAAATTATGGAGGGCAGACCAAAATAAAATAGGGACAAATTATGTAGGACAGAGAGAGTAAAATATAACACTAGACTTTAATTCATCCATGCTATAATTCATATGCAACTATATAAATAAAGAATGAAAAGGTACGCGACGTATAAAAATATATCAATCGAAGTGCAATTTTATTTAATTGGTTTTTCATTCACCAATTTTAATCTGTTGAATCTTCAAATTTTGCTTTAAAAATCAAAGCATTATATTCAACATCTATTTCGATCAAAATACCACATTTAACAACTATTTCATCTAAAAACCATCATAAACGACAAATTTTAAAACCATCAATATGCAACAAAATGTAAAATGAAGAAACACAAGTAGTGACAAGAAATGGAAATGAGATGTAACACCAAAATGTAAGAAACAAGTCAAATATAATTATTCGTCAAATCTACCGCGACCAAAACTCATTTCGGTTTAAATTCTACCATCAGTTTCCAGCATGTACTTAATATGAAGCCAAAAAGAAAATAAATAAATAAACTCAACTTAAAGGAGAAATCAATCATTTTCTTTAGACGTCGAAAATTTTAAATCAAGGATGTAGTAGGTTCATATAAAAGGGGGTTGGATTCAACAAACCTTTTCTTGCCATATGCTGCTGTTGCATCCTTCTGTGATTCAACAACAATCTGTGAGTAGAAAAACAGAAAAGAAAAAGAAAAAGGTATTATTCGGTCCTGAGTAAACATCGGCGCGTAATCAAACAGCTGTTTGGTTGCTCGATGATGTCTCCTTTTCACCCTTCTGCAAAACACATAGAAAGATCATACAATGCTTCGGCATCACAAACTAGTAGTTAAGAGTAGGGACTACTCAATCAAATCACAATATATATATATCCAATATTTCCCTGTGATCAAATGAGTGTTCGTCTATTGATTGTTTTAAGCTGAACTAATGATAGAAGAAAAACCAAAATTGGTGGAAATAATTTACTAGAAAAAATAAGGGTGTCTTTATTTGTGTTTTGGCCCCTTTTGTGGTGGAATTTGAAAATTTTCGGGGTGGAAAAGAGAATTCTATGTTTTAAATGAAAAATAAACATTGGATGCGATATTCTCACAGAGAGAGATTTTGTAGTGTGAAAATAAAACAAAAACCAAGATAGGTTTGTTTACTTTGCTCTATTTTTCTATTATTTGTTCCTGTTTAACTCCTTATAATCTTCAACAAAAATATACTCTCTCCATTAAAAAAGAACTTATATGGATCCGGCATGAAAATTAAAAAAATATATATATTTTATTGAAAAATCATAAAGGTAAAAAAGTAATTTGGGATATTTTTAAAAATTTTGGTTTGTAATTAATGATGAAGGGAGAGAATATAATAAAGATACTAACAATTGTAGTAAATAAGTGTTGAATATAGAATAATAATTAAATATTGAGAATTTGAGTGTATTCTTTTTGCAAAACAAACACACATTTCCCCACAAAATTAATATATTACACACATTTATTATTTTTGTATTATTATCTATACATTTTCCTATACCTCATGTAAAAAGAATATCCCTTCAAGTTATTTCACAAAACAAACACACAACTGTGCCAAAAATTAGTAATAGGCTAAATTTGACAGACTTACTGAAAAAAGAAAAGTAAGAGTAAATTTGATGAACGGATAAACTACTATTTTTTTCACACAAAATATTAAATCAAAATAATGTTAAATCAAAACTCAAATCTAAAACCCAGAATATAGTTCAAAGAGAACACACAATACATTTCTTGAAAACAGATTGCTTCTAGTTCTCAGACGGCCATAGATTAATTTAAACATATTGAATTTACAATAAAGTTCAGGTCAAGAGAGAGAGAGCAGCAGTCAATAAAAATGCAACAGAAACAAAAGATTTCAGGATGCTCTACTCAACAAATGAATAAGCCTTCAGGAGCAGTGTCTAAAAGGACAGGTAAAATGATGTAAAGACTTGATTATCAAAATTAAAATTAATAAATAAGCCCACCTCCATGATCATAATATAGAAGAGATTATTGTGAAAACCAACAACTACTCTACTCTCATAATAATTCAAGCCCAAATAAGTTAACAATAAATAAATAAATAAAAGAAGAAGAAGAAAGAAAGAAAGGAGGAAAGAAAAACATCCTTTCTATAATGAACAGTGTAAGACACCCTAGCGTCCCTAACGTATTGAGTCTTTGCATCATTGCTTTGAATATGTTCCCATTAATATTTTTGTTGTATTTGTTGTTATATTTTGAAAAGGAAATAAAGATAATTCTTATTTACTGAGTCAACATCTAAAGAGGGGCATGTTTAACACACCTCAAAAGAAATTCGATTAATAACAAATAGATATCCTGCTAATAGTCTCAAGTACACCAAATATTTACCGGTCAAAATATCCAGTAATGTGATGATGTAGTAATTCGAACAAACCAATGTTATCATTATGTGGGCTTATCATTCAGTTGATTAGTGATAGAACCTTTTCCATGCCCCAGCCTTAACACTTAATCAACACTTTCTATTGAGTTCCGTACTTTTGGGTTCATATCACAAACTAACAAACCTTTAGACTAGATCTACTTCAAATATAGCCATTTTTATGCGCTCCGTCAATTTCATCTTTCATCGGATCCCCCACAAAACCTATATACCTATAATCCAAAAGCCTATGTCATGGCATGGTATCCAGCAGATTGCATACGGATGTTCTTTGAATATCCTCACTTTTCATTCCAAGTGCAATGCAGGCATCCTTCATCAAGATTAGGTGCAACATAGCACCCACAAAGGAGAAATGCTGTAAAAGGACATGTAAATATTTTGCTTCATTAGAGATGCCGGCCCTTTCTAAATAATTTTAAATGTCAAAGAGGTGGTTGTCAACCCCTATCTTCTGTACGATTGTAGTTTAAAAAGACAAGGTCACACTTGATTCCCTAGTAGGGCACAACTCATTGCCCTCTTAAATCATCCTAATTTGTAGCGAAACTTCCTCTAAACATCTCAAAAGGTTTTAGAATGTCAGTTATGCCCGCCAATTTAAACTACAATACCAACTATCTCAGGGCATTTTTTTAAAAAAACCAAAAGTACCCACGTGGCTAACATACTCACAAGATCATGTCTGCCTTGCAATCTCACATAATTGGGTTAGTGATGATGTCACAATCATGTCCTCAAGGC